GTTCACTAGTAGCAGAGGGAAAAATGAAAGGGAAGGGAATTTTAAAAAAAGTATATGACACAGAAAGCAAGACATACACACAGATAGCATCCAAAAACCTCACTTGTGCATTTTGCCCAAGCAGGCATAATTTGCACATTATGATGGAGTGCTGCTGGGCACACCCGGCTTTGTGGCTTGAGCGATCAGTCCAAGTCACTGAGGCCTGCTGTAGGCTCTTCACAGAATCCAGATCTTCACACATACTTGAAGCAGCATTGGATCTGCTGGGTCATATGTGCTTAGTGGCAGAGCGCTTCAGCATGGACCAGCTATACAGTGATTCTTGCTCTGGGCCCTTCCCATATTTTCTCATTGCCTGACAAGTAGGTAAAAGCAGATAAACAGTCTAAAGCCCAGACAGTTTATGTTCAGAATCCCAAATATATCAGCCAAATGTTTTGCCTCTTAGCGGGTGTGAGGTATAGCAATTATTCACTTTCTTTGTTGTTTGCCCAGTGTTACAATTTTGAGTCAGTAATTAGTATACATAGAATTAAATTGAAAAGGTGCAAAAAGGTGTATGGTAAAACCCAAGTTTCTTTTCTGCACCTGTCTTTCAGCTACCCAGGTCTCCACATCGGAGGCAACCACTGGCACTAGTCAGGGCATATCCTGACTTGGCACGGACCATTGGATCACAGGAGACTTCCTGAAATGGCAGGCCCTGTATGTTTATGGGATTTATATCCCACCATCTGGAATACATGCAGGGTACCTATGTCTCCTTAGTTTCCAGGTTCTGTTAGCAGCTAACTTCACTGTGGTAGACCAGTGTAGTAACACCATGTCCTGAGTTGATACCTCCAAGAGAGGTAAAAGTGAACTGCTTTCTCATATCTTCTGGTTATCTTTATGGAGAAATACATTTACTGCCAGCTTCATAACTGCATTCTAGGTGACTAGGGTGGTTTTAATTTGATCCAGTTGGGATCCATATCTGAAAGTGCAGTTTGAGCTGGAGTCACCATTTGAGTATGTTTATGATAGCCTAATATCGTTGACTAAGACTCACTGGTCCCTTGGTCGGAGAAGTAGGGTTTTCTGCAAACCACCAGACATTGTTTTTTGATAATCCAGTGGCTTTCGCTTGGCTTCACTTTATACTAGAAGAGTATAATGAGGTAGTGGCCCTGATCATAGGCAATACCTCATTGATCTACATTACCTTCTTGTTCCATGGACTTCTGGTTTCCAATACCCTAATATGAACAGAAGTTTTCCTGCCATTTTCCATGATTTGGGCCAGTAACCAGTTCTAAATTCTCCTTCTTTCTTCAAAGTTTTGCTGCCTGCAGCCCGCTATCTGGTTTGTATTAGATATTGTATCAGTATATATTTGACGATATTAGTTTGTGAGTTTTTTTTTAAATCACAGAAGTCAATGGTGGTTAATTTAAGAAAAAATAAAAAAAGGATTTTGTGGCAAGCCCCTGGGTAGTGGACAGAATTAAAGACAGAGCTGAAGGGTGCCTGGCTGGTTCAGTTGGTGGAGCAGGTGACTCTTGATCTCGGGGTCATGAGTTGGAGCCCCCTGTTGGGTGTAGAGATTACTTAAAAATAAAATCTCAAAAAAAAAAAAAAAAAAAAAAAAAAAAAAAAAAGAGAGCTTAAAACTATACCTTGTTAAGGACGTGATGTAGGGTAGCCTTAGGGATCTAGACTAAGAGAGTCTTTGGAATGACTTAGTTCCATCCTTATGTCCATATATTCAAGACTCAGATTCCCAGCACAGAGTCTGGTTTGCCTAACTTGAATCACTGCCTCACCTCTTAGCTGCTGCCACAACGTGCCTTGATTAATAGACTCACCAAGACTTGTAGAAGGGAGGAGAGGTTCTTTCCTCAAGGGAAAGAAGGAGGAGGAATACTCAACCAGCCAATCAACAGATGCCCCATTCCAGAGTGTTCAGATTAGGTCAGCAGCAGTAGGGTTGTCATTGGCCTTTGGGGGAAGACCATTTCTCTTCGTGAGCTGCTGTCCCAGAGTATTGCAGTATGTTCAGCATCCCTGGCTTCTGGGCACTAAATGTAAGCAGCACCCCCACTGCTAGCCTTCACAATCAGGGCACCACTTGTTTCCCAGCTATCACCATCTCCCCCCTAGACATGCTGTGGAACAGCCCATCAGGACCACTGCACTACATGATCCCTAAAACTGTTTGCATTTAAAACAACCAGATGCATCCCCATTGCTAGGCAAAATGTTGTTTGTAATTTGGCTATAATAAAATAATGTTTCCTGTCACCTCTACCAAAAAGGTCTTCAGTTTAGTGTCCCCAAATATCTAAACAGACCTGCATCTAGAACTGTATGAAATATATAAGAAATTCATTAATTTGTTTCTTCAGTTTATTTCTTTGATTAAGGGCACAGACTTTAGAGCCAGATTCTCTGAATTCAAATCCCACAACCTGTAATTCTGCTATTTACTAGCAGTTACTTCCTTTGGGCTTTTACATAATCTTACTTTGAGCAATTACATAATCTCTCTGTGCCTCTGTAAAATGAGGACAATAATAGTACCCATTTCATAGGGTTGCTATGAGGATTAACATAGCTAATGTGCATAAAGCATTTAATAATATGTATGTATAAGCTATTACTATATTTATAAAATGGGATATTAGTAATTAAGTTTCCCATAGATATGCCTTTAAATTTTTTTTCTGGGGAAGTTATCTTTTAAAAAGTTAATTGCTCTATCTGGAAAAGCATTTTGTTATTTTGTTACAGCAGTTTAGAACTATACTTTGAAAAATATTCGTGAATTATTCATTTCTTTACTCAGTATTTATTGTTTGCCAGGCATGTGTTAAATCTTTTTTTTTTTTTGTAAGTTTTTTTATTTTGAGGTGGTGGGGGGGGGGTGAGGGAGAGAAGGGAGAGAAGAGGGAGAAGGGAGAGAAGATCCCAATCAAGCTCCGAGCTGGATGTGAGGCTTGAACTCATGAACTGTGAGATCATGACTAGAGCTGAAACTAAGAGTTGGACGCTTAATTGACTGAGCCACCCAGGTGCCCCAGGCCCGTGTTAAATTCTAAGAGACAGGGAATTTATATACTGGTGGAAGAAGCAGTAACTAAATGAGCAAATAAATGTCCAGGATAATTACTGATGTGATAAGAGCTGTGGAGGAATCAACAGAAAGCCCCGGAAACAGGGAAGGATTCCCTGTGTTGGTGGAACAGAGGAGAGGCCTGGACTGGACAGTGAGCAGCAGAGGAGAGGCAGCATGGGAAATGGGAGGGTGTGGGCCATGTTTTTGCAGGACTTTAGAGACTCCAACAAGGAGCTGGGGTCTTTTCTACAGGGAGTTGGGATTTCTTTCAAAGAGCTATTGAAGTTGGAGTGGGAAGGTTTTAAGCAGGAGCGTGCTGGGTCTGATTTCCTTTTGGTAAAGTTGGTTTTGTTGACTGTAGACAATAAATTACAGAGGGCCAGGTGGGACCAGGTAGAAGCCTCTAGGGAAGAAATGAATGGGGATGGAGATGGGGATGGGATGGGATAGGATAGGATGGCAGCAGTGGAGCTGGAAAGAAGTGGATGAAGCTGAGTGAGATCATGTATTTATTTTGGAGGTAGAATTGACAGGTGTTGATGGCTTAGATCAGGAAGTCAGTGAGAGAAAGGGAGGAATCAGGGAGAAGGCCTAGATTCATGGCTATTATGTGCCGTTTGTCACTATTGCTAAACCTTTTTTTTTTTTTTTTTTTTTTTTTTTTTTTTTTACCTCATGGTCCTTTATAAAACTAAATTTTTAGTACCATTTAGTACAATTTTTAGTACCTGGTCTCAAATTTTTTGCACTGCAACCAAATTTTATGATCTCTTTAAATTTTTTTGCTTTCTTATTTAATAATGAAACTCCCTTTGTTGATGTTTTTGGCACTTAATTGGGACCATTTTATCTGTTAATTACTGCTGCTGAGAATTTGAACTCACTCACCATTTGCAGAGCTGTCTTTTGAAATCAGATAACTGAGTATCACCCCTGCCCCTAGAAAGTAGGAGAACTTGCAAAAGCCTGCACCTGATGAGAAGCAGCCCTCCTTTCTCTGCCGGGTGTGGTTCTTCTAGGTGAGGACGGTGAGGAGCTGGGATGGTGGTGGGGCACCTGCGGTTTATTTACCTAGCTCTGCCTGAGGTGCCTGCTCACTTCACAACTCCACTCTTCTTTTTAACATGTACTTCCCATGTGGTAGGTCAAGTTTATGAGCTATTTTCTGTCATGTAGGACTAGTACACCTCCTCAATAATTGCAATTTTTCATATTTCACTAAAGCATTTCTTCTCGTGAAAGAATTGAGATCAAGCATAAACACTAGTCTTTAATGAAATAGATTGTTCAAATTGATCCATATGGAATGAATTATTTTACTCTTTTCTAAAAAATGAAGAGAAACTGGAAGAAATGTCAGTAATGCATAGAGATTTTCTTTAACACGTAAATGAGAAGCCAGAAATGCATATAAAACATGGGAACTTCAAAAACATTTTTTAGACATAGACTATTAACACACATGGATGTTTTTGATTTCCCATTACATTAAAATATCCAAATGAACTTCATGTTCAGAACATTTAAAAATAGCTCTATCTTGAAAAGAAGATATAAAGTATTATCAGCTGTGCTTTTTGTGCATAATTAGCATGTGTCTGTGAAAGTATAATGACTTCTAGTGTAATATTACTCTGATAAAAAATTCAGATGGTAAAAATTGGAGCTACAGCTGGGTGACACATTTTAAAATAATTCAAAGGTGACTCCATAAAATCACGCTACTTTAGTCCCTTGTACTCCCGCTTTCACTTGTCAGTAGAACATGAAGTCACCAATAAAAATCCCTTAAATAATGTTTCATTTTTCCCCTCTCTTATAGATTTGATGTGTGCCCACTGTTTCCTTCAGTGCTTGGCGGGCTGCTGTGAAGATACATCACCTTTTCCCTTTTTCCAAGATGGCTCAAGATTCAGTAGGCTTTTCTTCTGATTACCAATTTTGGATGCAGAAACTTTCATTGTGGGACCAGGCCTCCACTTTGGAAACCCAGAAAGACACCTGCCTTCATCTGCCTCGATTTCAGGAATTCCTGAGGCAGATGTATGAAGTCTTGAAAGAGATGGTAGGTAGTAGACCAAAATAATGAATCTCTACTACATTTCACCAAGCTTGAATGTTATCTAGGGTCAGGAACTTGTGGTATTGACCTGATGGATTAGAAAGACAAATTACCTGTAAGTGATATGGATGGGATGGTTTCCTTATCTCTGATTTCTTATGATTTCAGTCTTTTCTTCTTGATTAATTACATTGTCACATGAGACTTCCTGACCAGTAAAGTTTTGTTTTTTTTTTTTTAAAAACAAGACTGTGACAATCGTTGTCAGGTAAGAATTGGGATTCTTTTAAAGACCTTTGCATCTATTAAATATTGAAAAGTTTTCTGAAATGCTTCTTTATTGTTGTTCTTTAATGCTGTCTTAGATAAGGTTCTACTAAGAGGTAATAGGTATAAGATCTCTTATAGGTTCTACTAAGAGGTAATAGGTATAAGATCTCTTCTTATGAATATTTTAAGTGGTCTTTTCTGGTGAATATTAAGATTTTGAGTATCTTCACTATTGTTGTATAATGTATTGTTCAAAATTTGATATATTTTCATTTTGACATGATTTCTTATTTTTACTTCAGTAGATATTTTTATGAATTAACCTGCTTTCATATTATGAAAATATTATTTGTTTTACACCTACTTTGTAATTTCAAAATGAGAAGCAAAATTGTCATTTAATGTAAGTGTTCTTGTGTTACGTTTTTCTTTTAATCTAAGAAGCAAGTCAGAAATTTGAAGAATTATTCATGTTGATGATATGAGTTCATATGTCTTTAGCAACTAGAAGGAAAGATATGGTCTGTGTGATCAACCAAAGCTAACTTTTAAAATTGTTTCTCTATAATTCGACTTCTGCAGCTTGGCTTTAAATTGGTCCCAGAAAGTCTAGGGCTGGCCTTGATGCTAAGACAAATGTGAAGAATTTATTGGTACAGCAGCTTACATTTCAGCTTATGTACATGTTACCTCATTTAGGTCTTATTTTTGAACTTTCTTGAGAGGTAAAGAAGTGGGGAGAGGGCCAGTTGTATAACAGCATGTACATTTTTTAATCTTAAGCTGTTTTCTATTTGGTTGATCTTTTTCATCTCAGGTTTTAGGTTGTTGTAGATTAAGTATGATGTCATTAAGCATGTAGCAACTGAAATAGTAATGAACAGAGATATATATCTTTATGCTTGGGCTGCTTTTATTTCTTTTTACAAGTTCCAGAGTTCTTGTCCTCCCAAACCTTCTTTGAAATAGCCCTAGTGAAGCTGAGTTAGGAATCTCTCTTATGTTAGAGTGAAAAACCAGGTTGAAAACATGGGATCATAGAACTATTAATTGCTCACAATATTTTGTTCACTGTTATGCAATCTTTGTTATTTTTAAACAAATTGACCTTTCCTAAGTATGAGTAAAATAAAGTTAATTTGTATCAAGATTTTACATAAATGTGCTGTACATTTTAGTTTTGGTGATGTGGTTTAAGGATGAAATAAGATGGTTACTTGTTAAATTTTATTTGAATCTCCTACTTTTCCGAAATACATACTAAACATTCAAACTCCCTCAACCTGTAGTGTCAGTTCAACCTTTCTAAGTTGCATATTGTCTTTTTATTGACCAAAACGTAACTTTCTTTTACAGGATTCAAATACGATCATTGAAAGATTTCCCACAATAGGTCAACTGTTGGCAAAAACTTGTTGGAATCCTTTTATTTTAGCATTTGGTAAGAATCCAAAGCCTGTTCTCTCAAAATATAAACTTCTAATGATAATTTTAATCTTTGCATTGTTTAACAAAATACAGAGTTTCAAATTATAAATTTTCTCCTATTTTTTATGAAACAGCTATTCAAATGTATTCATTGTTCCGTTAGAAAGATAGCATCCTTTTCTTGTCCATATATGTTTGGATAGATAATCACACACACACACACACACACAGATCTGTAAGAAAATAGGACTCCTTATATTATAGAGTAGACTCTTTGAGATGATTATCATAACTTCATTTTTAATTCAGTATAAAATGGTTATAATAATGAAATAATTTCTTGTTTCACAATTTCACATTAACTTGCACACTACTGTTTTCCATGTGTAAAGTCATTCTTTAGTATCTGAATCCTCCTATGGCCCTGACATTATTTAGGGGTAACATTTTGGTTTTACCTACGGTGAAGAGGAACCTGGGGACACATTGGGGGAGGTGTTCTTTCCCTGACCTCCTGTCTACCTGTCCAGCCTCATTTCCTATATAATCCTCTGCAACCACACCACACACATGGTAGCCAGGTCAAGTTACTAACAGTGCCTTGAAAGCACATGATATCAGGGCCTGCAACATGTGATTCCTTTGTTTGGAGCTCTGTTCTCATCTCCTGTCCTCTTAAACTTTCTTTGAAATAGTTTTGCTTGGGGCTGCTTTAGGAGCTTCTTTAAGTCTCTTCGTAGCTGATAGCATCCCCCTTAACCATAAAACTTACTATACTGTTTTGTAATTATTGGTTTGCCTGTCTGATGTCCTGGAAGACTGAATGCCTCTCAAGAGCAGGAACTGTGGTTTTAGTTCTTTTTGTCATCCTAGGGCCTAGAATAGGGTGGAGGAGGCACATCTGAAGGTGTACAGTTGAGGTTTATTGCCTTGACTTGGCTAGTTTAATATTTACTTTTCATATTGTTTAAAGTCAAAGACTAATTGCATAATATAATGAGATGAGAATAAAAAAACAAAGTCAGTATTACCCTATGATATTATAAAGAATTGTTCAATTTCTCTTTCCTAGCCTATCATAAATAATTACAAGAAACATGAACTCAGGGGGGAAGAGACAGGGCTGCATTAGGTCCCGGGAGCATACATACATGGATGCCCTACACAGACAAACTCACTCACTCTGTCCCAACCCTCATCTGTCCCTCTTCCTCTCCACTTAGTCCTCTTGCTTCCCTTCCCCTTTGAGTGGACTCTTCCTCCCCTACCCTTCCCCAGCTTGTTGAAGTTCTTGATCTAATATGGCCAAGTCATCACTGTATTTGCCCACCAGGGCCATACCTACCTGCCCTAAGTTCATATATTTTAACTAGGCCAGTGTTTCTCAAATATCCTTGACCAGAAATACATTTTCTGTACATGTATACATGTATATACGCATACATACATACACACAGACGTGTATACACACACACATTTCATGAAAGGATGCTTGTTTTGATTTTGTGTAGCCACATTCACTATACTATTTTAAAAATAGTTTTCATGACCCCAAATTATTTTTACAACCCCCCGGATGGGTCATGACCAAAAATGTGAAAAACACTGAGCTAGACCAATGATACTAATGGCAGGAGAAAGGAAAAGAAGTTGTTGACTTTCCTCCATTTAAAGGCACCATCCATTGTGAGATACTTCACACATTGAATAGCCACTTTTTAGAAAAATAAATACTGAGGTCTTGGCGGAAGATGGCGGCGTAGGAGGACGCTGGGCTCACCGCGCGTCCTGCTGATCACTTAGATTCCACCTACACCTGCCTAAATAACCCAGAAAACCACCAGAGGATTAGCAGAACGGAGTCGCCGGAGCCAAGCGCAGACGAGAGGCCCACGGAAGAGGGTAGGAAGGGAGGCGA